TCCTTGTTATCTGCAGTACACGGGCATTTATCAAATATCACCCAGTGCCTTCATGAGGGGTGCTGGTGTGTATGCTATCTGGCTTTGCATGTCAGTACCTCAGGCTCCCCAAGTAGATTTTGTGTTCTTTTTGTAGAACAATTCCTATAGTTTTGTGTTATGCAACTTACAGTGGAAATTCAACTAAACTGGCTGTTCTGCAATGATGAGGTGGAGTCTAATGTGTGTAGAAGGGTTAAGACTTGGGTGTGTGCCTGAGAATGAGAAGTAATACTTAGCTTTGTTGATATTTCCCAGTTGCCTGGAAAAAAGGGGGTATATTCTCATATAATGTTTTATATTCGGGGTCCAAAGCACACTTTCCTAAAATGCAGTGTAGGCAGTGTCCCCCCACCTGCCCCCAACAAAAACTTTTTTCACCTTTTCTCTATCCTTATCTTTTCTATTTACAGACCGACTATTTGCTTCTCATTGAGCTGCAAACATGTCTGATGAATAAGTTGTATTTCGGTTTCCTACGGCAACTATTAGAAGTCTTTTCTGCACTTAGAAGTCTATGCATTAGTTTTTTCTGCATTAGAAGTCTATGGTGGTCTCTTTGGGAGGTGTGCTGGGTTATGTCTGTGCCTAACCTTCCCCTGGGGGCTGAACTGAGGTCCGCATAGTGTTAAAGACGTGTACTCTAGAGGAATGTTTTGTACAGTGGGACTCCTTTGTATTAAAATAACAGCAAGACACTCAAAAAGGGGAATTCATCATAGAGAAAGGAGACTGTTTCATGGAACCTAAAGATGGAGAAAATAGTTGGCCCTCAGGTACCATGTGGAAATGTATCTCTTACCTTTAGTTCATTCTACAGGTCTGCTTTATTCCTTTCTCTTGGTGCTGATTAGCTTCTGCTTTTTCTACCCATAGGATGAAGGATGGGGCTAACACTTTCCGAGTTTGAAACCCTAGAGTCCAAGTTACTGAAAAACAAAACAGAACAAAACAAAACAAAAACCTGCCTTGATCCATGTCCCAATACCTGAAGAAGGACTTCAATTACTATCTTCGGCTAAGGGTCCATCCCTGGACTAATAAAATATGGTCAGACACGAAATGGTATTTTACTTTACTGTATTTCTGGGGTAATCATTTGAATGGAGGGTGGTAGGAAGGTGCTAGTACCTAAAGGTGATACGCTGGACAGATAAAAGGGTAGAGGTTTTCTGTGTTGTACATATGCATAGAGGTAAAGAGTTTATAAGCCCCTTCCCACATGTTATCTCATGTGAGCCTCGTGACAGCAGGATAACAGAGGCAAGACAAACACTATCGGTGGGCAACTTCTACATTAACATTTTACATCCTGAAGGCATTAACGTGCTTTCAGATATTAAGTGATTTGCGCAAGATTCACAAATAGTTAGTAAATTCTCTTTCCGTTGCCTAACGAAACTTCTCTTTCAAAATGTTTCTGAAATCCCACCACCTTCGCAAAGGCAATGAATAGGAGAGCAATACTAATTTAATTTGTCTTCTCTAGAAAAAAGAGCAGGTCCAGGGAAGTGTAATTTCAGTGAATCGGGAATGAGGGAAAAGGAGAGTGAGAGAAAGATAGAAAGGAAACATAAGGGAATGAGTTACTGAGCTGGCCACAGATTTGAAATAGGCTGATTGGTTTGTATCGCAAGATATTTTCAGAGAGGCTGTGTGAAGCTACTGTGTGTGTGCCATGGGCAGGGGAGGGAAAGGAATAAAAGTTGATTCACTAGATTCTATTGTCCTTGGTCAAAGCTGGGGCTCCAGGGTTAACTTACCAGCACTTCCTGTTGTACATGTTTGGGGACACAGCAGAACCTGCTGGACAGCAGAGGAGTCCTAGGTGGAAGGAAAGATACTATCAGGTCATATATGAGAGTGACACGAAGGACCAGAGGCAGCTTCGGAGGGAGTCGCCCTGGCTCAGCAGACCAGGCTCCACCATGACCTGATCTTCGGCCACAAAGGTGACAAGAGACCTGAGCACATCTCCTCTCTGGGGCCTACAGGAATGCAGTTGATGCCAAGGCATCCTCCTGGGGGAACATCAGGAGGAGCTGAGGAGCTGGCTGTACGGTCTCATGTGGGGATGGTGATATCTACTCCTCGACGAAAACCCACTTCAAGCACACCCCTCCTACACTACTCCAGACTTGATCAGTCCCATCTTTATGTTCACACTATTCTTCACAGGAGTATACACATGTTTAATTCAATTATTTATTCAGACTTTTTTCTTTTCCTAGAAAGGATTTTTGTGAGACTGAGTAATGTTGATTCATTAATACAATAGTTTATTGAATACCTACTATGTGCTAGGCACTATTTTCAGGGGTAGGGATAAAATAGTGATAGGTACAAATCTTTAACTTTTTGAGGCTTACATTTTAATGTGTGTGTGTGACTAATAAAGAAATAAGCAAAATATATATTATGTTAGATACTTTTAAATGCTTTGGAGGAAAATAAAGCAGGAAAGTTAGATAGGAAGAGCCAGGGTGGGGAGTGAGTATTGTACGTCAAGTAGCGTGTCAGGGAAAACTTCACCAGAGTGAGTGATATTACAGCAAGAGCAGGTATGGATACCTGGGAGTGAGGGAGTGAGTTGCAGAGACAGAGAAAACCAAGTGCACAGGCATTAAGCATGCTGGGTGTTTTCCAAGAAGGCCAGGGAGACCAGGGTGACCAAAGCAGAGTAAGGGAGAAGGAGATGAGAGAGAAGAGAATAGATGCAGAGAGTTAATGTGGAGCTAAATATCTCAGGACATTGAAATGACTTTGGCTTTCACTTGGAGAGGGATGGAGAAGCAATAGGGCTTTAATCAGAGAAGAGAGCTGACTTCCATTTCAACAGGGTCACTCTGGCTGAGAGTAGAGTATAAAGGGACAAGAGCTGAGGCTGAGCGTAAGGAGCTTACTGGGGCAACTCAGGTGGGCAGTGTTGATTGTTTGGACAAAGATGGCAGCAGAAGAGGCGGTGGGAGACAGTGTGATTCTAGTTTAAAGAATTGACAGAATCTATTATGGATGAGCAAGAACATCCGAGATTAGAAATCAATCATTAAGATGATTCCAGGTTTTTGGCCTGAGCCAAGATGACAGAAGGAAAAAAAAAAATTAGAGGGAAGATTAGTTTGGACAGGAAATGGCTCTCAGACATCCAAGTGGAGTTGTTGAATTGACAGTGGATTTAGGAGACTGAAGTTCAAGGAAAAGTTCATGGTTAGAGATATAAATTGGGAGCCATCGGTATGACATTAAAGGCCATGGTACTGGGTTAGATCACCGCGTGAATGAATGTAGCTAGGAAAGTGAAAGGGACAAAAAACTGACTCCTAGACCATTCCACTCTAAAGGATTAGGAAGGTGAGGAGTACCAAAAAGCAGACACAGCAAATGTGGCCATAAAGTAGAATGAAAACCAGAAGAATGTGGTTTCTGGAAGCCAAGACAAGAAGGTGTTTTGAGAGGCAGGGCCTTGGCCAAAATGTTGCTGACAGAGGTGTTGAGAACAGACCTTTGGGTTTAGCAGCATGGAGATCATTGGTGACCTTGAGCAGTCCACTACAGTAGAGGGGGGCAAATGCCCTAATGGAAGTTCAAAAGAGAATGGAGGGGAGAGAAATCAGAAGAAATAAATCTAGGCAGTTCTTTAGAGTTTTGCTTTAAAGGGAAGAAGTACAAAGAGGGTGGTGGCTGGTGGGACAGGGAGAATAAAGAAGTGTGTGTTAAGGGTCTGTTCATATGCCTCTTGGCAGTGTCCGCTACAACTTACTGGCAGAACCAGGCAGAAAATGAATGATTGTGAGAAAAATGAACAAAATACCCCTACAGCCAGGTCTGCAGGGACCACTGAACCGACCCACACACGGTTCACCGTATCAACGAGGAAAGGTCCTGCGGAAGTGAAGGTGCCTGGGTTAGGCCTTATAGACCGAACACCTAAAGGTTTCAGATTCAAAAAGCAGAAATAATAAGCCTGTCAAATAGCAGTGTGGAGGTTCCCTCTACTGATCTGCGACGCCAAAATGTGGTCTGGTGGCATTTTCTGAGAGATTCATTTGGAGTGGCAGTTTCACAGAATGATCACCCTCATCCTCACTAGCAAACAGTACGTAAGTGCCTGATTTCCCTACCACCTCATAAATTAAAACAGAGGGCCCGTTCCCTGGGCGAACCGGTGTGGTAATGAGAAGTAGTGAGAGGCCTGAAGGTCAGGGATGGGGAAAAGGCAGGGATCCGGTAGAGGCAGGCGGCTCTTGCCAAACCATCCCGCCCCAGTTCCTGATTTTCACCCTGGCTGTCCAAGCGCGGGAGTGCACGACTCCTCCGCTGCTTCTTCCTCCTTTGCCCCTTGAGCTCCCTACTTCTTTTGCTGTTCTCTCTCAACGTAGGGGTGGTTCCGAAGATCGGCCCTGGCCCCTACCTGGCCCCTACCATCGCCTGTAGGCGCGCGGGAAGCGGACTGAGACCCCCTGAAACTCCAGTGGGGGCAGGACCCGGCGTTCTGAGCATGTGCGAGCAAGCCGGGAGGCTAGGGCGGATTCAGCGGGGTGGGGGCCCCCTCAGGTCTCTGTGCTAAGCGCGGAGCAGGGGCGCGGCGGAGCAGGAGCACGGTGAGCGCAAGACCCGCCAGCACTCTCCGGCGCCGGGATCCCGCGCCTAGGGCGCAGCGGCTGCGCCCTACCCTCCGGGCGTGGGCGAGCTGGCCGCGTGTGCCTCCCTGCTTGACGCGTGGGCGAGCCAATCAGGACTAGCGGTCCAGGCTGCCATGTGACTGGCGAGGCGGCTCCTTTCCCCAGCGCGGCCAGAGGGAGGAGAGAACCGGGGCTCGCCGCGAGCCTTCGAGAGCAGCGGTCGCGGAGGCGGCGGCGGCGGCACAGGCTCGGGCCAGCCGCGCGCGCATCCCCCGGCGCCCTGGGCGGCGGAAAGCTCGGCGGGCCGTGGGAGCCCACGACACGAGTGGACAAAGCAAGATGGCAGGGATCTTAGCCTGGTTCTGGAACGAGAGGTTTTGGCTCCCACACAATGTCACCTGGGCGGACCTGAAGAACACGGAGGAGGCCACCTTCCCGCAGGCTGAGGACCTCTATCTTGCCTTCCCCGTGGCCTTCTGCATCTTCATGGTGCGGTTCATCTTCGAGAGGTAAGAGGGGCTGGAGCGCTCCTCCCCTCCCCCTTCACACACTCTCACACACACACGCACACGCACCCGCGCGCGCACATTCGCGCGCACACGCACCCTCGCGTGCTCTGTGGCGCACGCACCCGCGCCCCCAGCGCTCGCGCTCGCGCCTCCAACCTTTGTGTTCGGGGAAGGGGTTGTTGACCCTTCAGCCCGGCTGCCGTTCGGGGCGCCAGGGAGGATCTGGCTAGCCTACGGATTTCCTCCGGGGCGCCGGGGAGGGGCCGCGGAGCGTTGGGGTCGCCCCCCGCACTCCTCCTGGGCCCGCTCTCTCCCGGCCGCGAGCGCCGGCGAACAAAGGTGAGCGCCCGGCGGCCTCGGGACGCGGCGCACTAGGAGGGGTTGGCCCCTGTGCGCCCCGCGGGCGGCCGCGCTGCGGGGCAGGGCTCCCGGCCGAGGCTCGTCGCCACCCACCTGACAGCCTGGAGCGCTGCGGACGCGCGGCCCGGAGGGCGGAGGGACCGCGCACACACCTCCAGTCCTTTCGCCCAAGCACGCGGATTGTGGGGACTGTGCTTCGAAACAATTCGCCGGGGACTCCTGGGCTTCTGGCCGCTAGTTGGTTTCTGCTCGTGACCCTATCAGGCCCACAGTCCTGGGAGATAGATGACAACAGTTTTTAGGCTTCCAGCACTCCGGGTCATTAGCGGTTTTCTTAAAAGAGATTATGACGAGACGGGTGCACAGCCTGCAACGTGGTGATATTAAAATGATAAGATGCTTCCTGTGAATAACCATAAACTTTTGTGCCAAACGCACTTAAAACATTTTAAGGAGTTGTTATTTATCGTTTGTATAATTTCCGGATTTGGTTGAGTGGCCCCACTGTGTCCCGAACAAACTTGTGTTACTCTCATTCAATCAGTCTTAGTCACAAAACTCGATTTTGCGTGCTGTGCACTCTCCGGGTGCTATTGAAACAAAAGCAGGACAGCGGCACACACTTGTTTTCCTCTACTGAGAACCTCGCCTCCCCTTCCTCTCCTCTCTCCGCCCCCCATTCATCGGTGAGGCTGAATTCCTCAGATGATGGAGTTTATACCCCATTTCCCACGTCCACCCCACCACTCTTCTCCTACCCCCAACTCACCTTGGTTTTGTTTCTGAAGCTTTTGCTGTTATTTTGTTTGCTGTTTCTGTTCGCCTGACACCACTCTTGAGGATGGCGGAGTTTGTCTTTTGTGTCATTTGTTGCTGGATATGGCAGCAGAAAAAGCTTCGTGGGAACAAAAAGTATCTTTTGTTTAAGGAAGGTGTGTTTTTCAGTGGGCGATAACTGTTGCTTGTGAACCAAGCCGCCGGTTCACATGCAGAGATTGAAATGCACGAAGGAACAGATTTAAAGACGTATTTTAAAATGACTGCAATCCAGCGCAGATACCTCACTGTTCCTATCTAGCGCTGAGGCTTACTGTGAAAAAGTGGTGTGTTTGTAGGTTTGGAGTTACTTCTACAGCAGATGTTTACTTACAGAAAATAGGAACTGCTGTCTAACTTCGCAATCTCTTCAAAAACAGCCTCTCGGGACCTGCAGGAGCTTCTGTACTGATTGATACTTAGTAGGGGCTCCACACACCATTGCGTAAGAACAGCTAATCAATTCTGGACGGGCTCACTTGTAGTCAGGTAATGCATTTGAAAGAGGCGTAGTCTTAACGTTTTGGATAACAAAAGCATGTCAGCTAACGACCTTTGTGCAGAAAGCTGATTCCAAGTTCTTTAGATTGGAAAAAAGTAAATTTGGTTTTGTACTTAAACTTTCTCTGCCTTAAAAAAAAAACCAAAACCTAAAAACAAATGTAATTTAAGTTGAAAACTGGAAGTTTGTTGTTCTTCTTTCTGGACAGTTTTTTCTTCCTTTGTGTAATCTCTTGACTGGACTTAGACTTTGTACAAAAGGGTCATCTGCTTTCAACTATCAGTCACAGCAAATGTCATATTGTAACGCAGAGAGTTTTTCAGTTACTTTCAGGCCGTTGGTTCACGTAGAAGTGAATTTCATGGCAAACAGAGTTTGTGATTGATGTTCAGAAGAATACTCCAGTATGGCCCATATACCACAGGATGCTATACTGACTCTTGGAAGGATGTCTACTTTGTTTCTATAGTGGCGTCGGCCCTGTCTTAACCATTCAGACTCTCAGTTCCCTGAAAATCCAAGTGTATAATTTCGTCCAGAATTACAAGTTGTGCATGTTTCTCCTCTCCTCACACCTAAGGAGCCCATTCTGGTATCCTGCTTGTGGCCTTCGTCTCAGCATCCACCAAGGGCCTGAATTTGAATCAGCTGATACTGTTATTCGTGATATGACTCACTTTCCATCCTCTTCTAACATGGTGTACTTAAATCTTTCTTTTGCTGTATTCTGTAATGTATAGCATGATTTAAAGAAGCCTGTTGTGAGTCCCTTTACAAAATGAAATGCCTTTGTAATACAAATAATTCCCTCTGGATTCTCTTCCTTTTCTTAAAATTTATTTTTCATTTTTGGGGCACTTGGGTGATTCAGCCAGAGGAGCATGCAACTCTTGATCTTGGGGTCGTGAGTTTGAGCCTCACATTGGGTGTAGAGATTACTTAAATAAATAAACAAATATTTTTAAAAATTTACTTTTCATTTTTATTTTTCAGGATTCTATTCTTTTTATGCTTCTGTTGTTACTTATTTCAAAGCTGAGAACATATCTATGAAATACCTGATTATCCAAGATCTTTATTTCCATTAAATGGGGTCTGTAATGCACTTGTTGAGGCCCAAATTGTGAATTTGAATACATTCTCCTCAGACTTATGTTTTTCTCTCCATAAAGAGAAACACTAAGGAATAGAGTGGATTGAGCTTTGCTCCATTAAACAGGCTTATTTTTTTGTTTGCACACCACTGTTGGAGTGTTGACAGTGGAGGCATTGGTGGCCAGAATGATACCGTGTTATGGTACCATATGGGCAACAATATGGACACTCAGCATGGTTGGTTAAAAATGGAGCAGGCTAAATTCAGTGACTTTCGACTGAATCTGTGAATAGTCCAAAGCTGGGTGGTTTTTAGCATTGCCTTTGTACCGCACTTAACCCTCGGTAGGACCAGAAGGGCCATTATAGATATTACTTGATTGACAAAGTAAAAGATCTGTTGTTAAAAACAAAAAACAAAAAACAAAACTTCATGGTTTCTCCTAGAATGAAAATTGTAGGGTATACCGTTATATTATGTTGTTGGCTTGGTGACAAGGAACAAAGTAATATTTATTATTTCAAATTAAAAAAATTTAATTTCAATGTAGTTAACAGTATTATATTAGTTTCAGGTGTACAATATAGTGATTCAACAGTTCTACACATTACTCAGTGCACACCATGACCAAAATATTATTTAATAATGTAACATTATCGGGACGCCCGGGTGGTTCAGTCGGTTGAGCGTCCGACTTCGGCTCAGGTCATGATCTCACAGCTCGTGAGTTCGAGCCCCGCGTCAGGCTCTGTGCTGACCGCTCGGAGCCTGGAGCCTGTTTCAGATTCTGTGCCTCCCTCTTTCCCTGCCCCAATCCACTCGCATTCTGTCTCTCTCAAAAATAAATAAACATTAAAAAATATAATGTAACATTATCATTTATTTTATGAATTTTCTTGATATAATGCTTGTTTAGGCTTAGTGAGCCTTTCTCTGGAATTATAATAAATACTTCTTCCAGATTCACTTGTTAAAATATATTGCTATGAATTACTATCTCATGAAACTCTGCTCAGGCTAAAAGTTATTTTTTTGCAGGTAGAAATTAGTTGTCTAAGAATAAAGAGATTTTCTTCATACAAGTATTTTAGCCAATGGTTTCTTTCTTGTATTTTTTCAATTATGATTTGAATGAAAAGAATTATTTGGACTGTTCTCATTTGTGCTTCAAAAAAACTACCATATTTCAGAATAATCAACAAAGAAGATTCTTAGAGAAATCACTTGGTCTCTTTCCTCAGACCCAATTTAGGTGGACCCTAGAGTAGACCTGACACCTCTTGTGATGACCAGATAATAAATGAGAAACTCATCCCTGTCAGGTTGGCTCTCAAAGTGCCAAGCTATGAGAGAACTGTCATTTTCCAGGAGGCCGACACCGGTCTCGCCTGGCTCATTCACTTCAAAGACCTGCTGCCCTCAAACCTTCAAGAAACAATAGTGTCTCATTAGTGTCAGAGGGAAGGTCTGGCCAATGGGCTTTTTCTTACCGATTTCCTTAGTGTCTTTTCCTTGCTAGGAGCCCTGGGTAAGGTCCTGGAAGGGAAGAGAAGGGGAGGTGAAGGGGGAGGGGGAAGGAAAATGAATGAGAAAGTATTCCTGACCTGATGGTTAGAGGCGAGAGAGGAGGTGTGAGTGAATGTCCGCCAGGAAAAAGCGGTGTGTCAGGTGAATTTGATTTCTGAAGGTTGTTCCTGTAAAGTCCCTTGTAATGAAGAGACTGGATGTCTTCTGATATCTTTTGAAAGAGTTTGCGGTGGACTGGATGTTTCTGTCCCTCAAAATTCATATGTTGCAATCCTAAACGCCAAGGGGATGGTATTAGGAGGTGGGGACTTTGGGAGGTGATTAGGCCATGAGGGTGGAGCCTTTGTGAATAGGGTTAGTGCCCTTATAAAAAAGGCCCAGAGAGCTCCTTGCCTCTTCAGCCATCTGAGGACACAATAAAAAGATGGCTCTCTGTGAACCTGGGTTATTCTCACCACATCCCAAATCTGCTAGTGCCTTGATCTTGGACCTCCCAGTCTCCAAAACTGAAAAATAAATTTCTGTTGTTTATAAGCCACCCAGACTATAGTATTTTGATATAGCTGCCTGAATGGACCAAGACAGAATATTTGGTAACAGTTTGCATACGAAAAGTTCTTTTGTGCAGTCAACCTTGGACATTTAACTCTCTAAATGTACCTGTTTTCCTTGTTCAGTATGGTGTGATTCAGATTAAAA